GGTGAAGGCTGAATGCACTGAGCTGGTCAGAGTTCTAACTTACATTATGATTTTTGATGCTAATGCTCAGATGCGCGTCTTTTTTTTGCAACTTTTTTTCGAATCGCTCCTGTGTGAAATAAAAATCATTTTTTATTCTGTCGTGTAGAGGAAAACCAAAATCTACTGATCCGATTGCCATTTTCCTTTGCTAGACTGCCTCTCCAAGCAATTTTCATATCTATTTTTCGACCTGAATCCACGCCTCGATCCCATTGAGGGTCGTGCTTTTCTCTATAACGAGCCGACTACTCATGCACAGAGGCAAACTGAACTGAGACCGTTGTGTGATCTTTCTCAAATCAAATAATGAAGCTACCACCTGGTTGAGTGTAAGGGATATTCTTCACTGCGGACTGGGCATGTACAGGGGTTGCGTCTCTCTGACCAAAGCTATTCCTAAAAATATTCAATCCATCTGCGCTCTACTGCTCTTTCTTACTGATTTTGAACTTTCGTTTAGAATTTTAGATTTAGACTTTTCTTGTAAAATTTCAATTACATTGTTATTCACGACAGCTGACCGGTGAACCAAAGATGGGAGGACGAAAGATGTGGATGTGGTTTCACACGCAAGTGAACGACACTCTCCTCTTCAAGGATTGGTGGATTCAGGATGCTGAAAGTAAGATTTGTTTTTTCGATATTCTTCAATGATTGTCAGTGATCAGCTATTTTTCATGATAGCACTAACGAAAATACCAAGAATCTGAAGGGAACCTCCGCTAAATATGTGAAGCGAAGATAATTGAGAAAAACAGGCTTAGGAGTACATTCATTTGAAATGGTTCCAACGTGATTAAATGATTTCAAAGCGATTTTCTTTACTATCGCTAACTTCTTACCATCTAGTAGTACTGCCCTTCAGATTGTTCAGCAAGTCGTAGATACGTCCACTATTTGAATTTCGCTTGCCTCGTTGTAGAAGCCAAATTCTAAACTAAATTCAGCTTCTACAACCAGGCAAGTAGATTCTGAATTACTTTAATGAATTCTAAGTAATTTTGTTTTCCCGAATTTTTCTTTTGAGCTAAAATCCGTGGTGTTTGCTCAGGTGGGTGGGTTTTCTCGGAGACAATATACTTTAAGGAAATTGCTATCTCATTCACAAGCGTT